CATTGAGGTTTTAGATTTTGAATCCGCTAATTTCATTAACGTTAATTACTTTTTTTGAAAAAACCCTTTGTTGAATTCAGATAAATTTACTCAATTTTTCAAAGTAAAATAATCCATCTACAGACATGTAATCAAACATTTACTGATATTGATATAATAAATTTATCATTATTGTTTAACATACTATCAAGAAAACCTTTTCAATGTAATATTATATATATTGAATTTTATTATATAAAGCTTCATATTATTACCAAATTTTATCGGTTTAATAAGCATGTTTAGTTTAATGAAATGACTTGTACGATTCAACTATTTGTATTATAAATCAATATTAATTATTACTTTAATTTAAAGATATTATCAAAGTGCAATAAATTCAAGCAATAACGATAACAATTATCGGCTATGGATTCCTGTGAAACAAGTGATGTCGAATGGAATGATCCTGATAATACATATGTTTGTCTAGATAGCGATTTCAGTTTGGCAACTGATAATGTTAGTGAGACGTCTTTAGTATCTAATATCAATGATGATAATAGTTATAAGTTCCTTTTTAATTATGAAGCATTTCAAAAAACTCATGAAAGTATACATTATATTGATGATGATGTTACTACGAATGACATAAAGGATGATTCATCATTTATAAGTTCAGAAAGAAATAGCAACGATTTTAATGCACAAGAAGAGGATTATGAAATTGATGATATTTTATGTGAGAAATTAGTTCCATGTGTTGTTTTAGATATTTATGATGGAGAAATTCAACGTTGTCCTAATTATGAAAAACCTGTAAATCGGCTTCGACCTCTTCGTCAGCTTGTTGGAACTTGGGAAATAGACGAATCAGTTGTTGATAAAAATAATCCTAAAAGTATGATGCATACTCTTGGCGTATGTTCAGCACATTTTTCATTTGATCAAAATCGATTACACATGGCAGCAGCAAAACAAAAACGGTCAATTGAAAGTAGTTATATTCGATTATGAAGATGTTTATTTTGCAATAAAGATCGTTATTTTTTTAGTCGAGGTATAACTTGTCAAAAACATTGTGTAAATATCAATGATTATGATATACAATTTTCCTGTATTGAACGTAAAGTATGTTCGGCATTTGTAAATAATAATCAATTAGTTGAGCAATCAACAACTTTAATAACTAAGAAACCAACTGCTAAGACATCAGTAAGATTCATTTGTTCTAAATGTTTTCAAAGCGAAGGAGGTCATCTGTTTGAGAGAAAAGGAACTGGTGTTAAAAGCTATACTTGCCATGACCAGCACGTTGATGAAAATAAAAATGCACTTATTTTACTTGGACGATGGTTAACTGCTATTGCAGAATCTAATGATGAAGAATTAAAGCAAGATACTTTGAATGAAATGACCGTAGTTCTTAGTAAAGCATATCACCCAACAACTAAAAATGATAAACGAAATATTACAAATCAACTAACACTAATGCCTAGCCTATTGTTGATAAAAACAATTATGCAACTTAGAAAGGTTAAAATCAATAGGTTGAAAGATGACTATCAATTAGAAAAATTATTAATTTCAGAGGATCAAAGCAATAAACTTGGTGAGGCGTTTAGGCGTGCTATATGGAATGTACGATCAAATATAATTCAAAATAAAACAGTACTCAAGTCTCCTGAATCGTTTGACCAGTATCGTAATGGATTTCCGAATTTTCTTAGAAATTTTTTTGATAGCTTTATAACCTTCATACAAAAAAAAAAATATCAAATTTGTTTGAAGAAGCAAAAACAGCGAAAAGGTAAAATTGAAGAATTTGATAGTGTACGACCCTTTAAAATTTCGGTTTTTTTTATATCTACAATTCTTACTATAGCTTTCCCTAGTATTAATATTTGGCTTACACATACAATGAGTTCATTATGTAGAAAGCCCAACCTTTTATCCTCATATCAAATTTTATGTACAGCAAACATTGTATCGCATTCACAGCGTCATGAAAGACGTCTTAAGAAAAGCCGACGAATATATTCAATTCCAACAACCCGATTACTTGAAGGACCCAATATTTGGAGTATATGTATTTTAGACAATATTGATTTTATGAGACGATCATTTAGTTTTGGAAATATCTACGATGCTACTCGAATTACTGCACATGTATGTCTACGAATGGTTTTTCAGTTTGAGTTGCCAATTCCTCTAGAGAAAATTTTTGCTAAAGCAAAAGCTTCACCGAAAGACTATTTATTTAAAATTGGTACTTCAATATTTACAAATCAAATGAATCTGGAATTTGAAAATACATTTCATAGTTTATCAACACGTGATGAAAAAGAACTTGACATTGATAAAGTATTCGAAGAATTAATCAAACGTATAGCGATAAAACCAGGTTGTCAAGTGCCAGCACCAAATGTAGTCATTTTAGAGCCAGGGAATAATCCATGTTCAGATGAAGCAGTACATAAGGCTTGTGAGATGTTTTTTGATGATGTTGGAAAGAAAACTAATAGGCATGGCAAAATTGATGTAGTTGCAGATGAAGCAATTTTTTGACGCTTAATTTCATATCATGAAAAACATCTGGATGCTAATATTTTATTAGGTGCTTGGCACACGAATAAAGAAATGTGTGTAACTTTAATTACTGTTTTTTCTAGTTACGGAATTTTTGATTTGGCGGCGCATCTTGGTGTTCGATTTTTAGACAAGTTGGAAAAGGCAGTAGATTATGTAGCAACCTGCCGAGTATTAGAGCTTATTTGGATTGCAGTGGGACTTGCATTAAGTAAAGTTGCTCAAGATACTGGTCAAACCTTCGCACAAATTCGAGAAGGTAATAATCAAATAATGAAAGTTTGGCTTCTTTATTTTGAATGGTGTGGTTATTGGATCGGGCACAAGATTGGAATTTGACATGGTAACTATCAAATGCAATTTCAGAATTTAGCAGCATTTGCGCCGCTCTTTGCTACTATAGGAAAAAGCAATTATATGCGATCTGTAACTCATTTTATAAGCTACTTATCAAAAGATTTGGAATTATGTTCATTACTACATTATATTCCCTCAGTAAACTTAACAAGAATAGGGCATTTTTTTGCCTTCGATGAGGCACTTGAACGTTTTGGTGTTAAGTTTGTTAAAGAAAATATTGGGTCTTATTTAGGTAGTGAAGATGAGTTAAAATCACTGATAAGTTCAATTCAAACAGAAAGAGAACGTCTAGATCTCTTATTACGTGGTTATGTTGGCGATGATATAATAATTCCAAAAGATTGCAAAATAATATCACGTTATATTATTATAAATAGCTTAAAATCTTCGTTAATTCAGGCATTTACCCAACAAAATTTTACTGAATTATTTAAAAATGCAACTGAGTATATGGCAGAAGGATTTAACAACCTTTTTACTTGTTATAACCTTGGTATTGAAAGATTAAAAAATATTCATTCTCAAGAAATTACAAAAGAAATTCCCTATACTACTAAAGGACGAAGAGAAAAAAATGTACGAACTAACATGATTAGTCAACAGATTAAGACAGAAAAGCATCGCAAAGAGATTGAAAAACTAACCCGATCACTTCAAAAAAAGTATATCAAAATTTTAATTTAAATAATATTTAATTTTTTTTTTTTTTTAATTTTTAATATTAAATATTAGAGAACGTCAAGCAGAACCACACAACAACTTTACTAATGAAAAAGTAGAAAACGTGGCTAAAAGAAAACGACGACATCTGACAAAATCAGAACAAGAAATTTTTGCAAAATTAATTGAACTCAATGAATTATCAGCAGAAGAGATATCAAGGGTATTTGTAGAAATTTGTACTTTACCAGATACGAAGCCTGAAGATTGGGACATAAAAAGGATTCGAAGTATTTGGGGTCGAAAAAAATCTGCAAAAAAAAAAAAGCAGAATCTCAATTTAAGCAAAAGCGTGATTAGTTAAAATTTCAAAAATAATAAATATAAAATTTCCTTAATTTCAGCAAAGGATCTTGTGAAATTTCCATTTTTTTAGCTAGAAGACAATACCCTGTAATAAAGAAATCGTTATTCTAACGAAGTCATTAAATGTTAACTAAATGTTACTTTGAAACATAATTAATAAAGTTTATATATAATTTATTGAAGTTTCGATTTAATTAAAAAAATAATTAAAGGGTAATCGATATATTTTGTGGTACTATACTTGTTGATCACTATTTAATTTGTTATCGTAGGACATGTCCAGTGATCGCTATACTATTTTGGGCATTGTTATCACAATGGAATTGGTGCGTGACGATATTACATACGGAAATAAAATAACAAATACTAAAAAAAAATAAAAATAAAAATAAAATAAAATATATACAATTTCATCAAATTCAATTTTTCAATCCATAACACTATAAAGAAAATGTGCTTATGTAGGACGTAACTATAGAGAAGTCTGACTGTAAAAAGAATAAAATCTTAGAAAGGTGTTAGATTTAGAAAGTACAAAATTCATATTACTCAATATACTTTGAATAAAAAGACCTCGAATTTAGAGAAAATTTATTAAGCGATAAACTTATTTGGAGAGAATTGTCAGTACCAAAATTCTCTTCTCTATTGAGCATAATGTATCGTGAGAATTGCATATTTGAATAGGTTTCAAAATTACATAATAATATCCTACCATTTAGCATTATAAAATTTTAACTATGATCTTAAATCAGCAAATAATAAAAATTCTTTTTTAAAAAATTACTGTAAAGGTGAGATAAATATCACTATTTATAAAAGTATCACCATCATTCTACATTAAACTAGTCCGAACAAAGAACTTGTCGAAAAACCATTGAAAAAGAACTTCAACTATATGATAAAAAGCTAATTCCATGAATACGATAAGCAAATATATATAATAATAAAACCGCTCAACAATATTTATTAGAAAATGTACTATGGTATTACTAAGAATTAAAATATAAATTTTTTAACATAAAATTTGTGCTAAGCATACCAGTATGAATTAAATATAATTTACTCCAACTTGTATAATGAAGTATGTTTGAAAAAATTAATAGGAATTATTGTCTTTACAACGTGGTATATTTCTTTCATTTCAAACCTGCAGCTACTTATTATATCCTCATGAGAACACAAGTATTAATTTATTGTTCTCAAAAAATTTTTAGTAGTGGACAGTAAAATTTATACTGTGCACAAATTTATAGTAGTGTTTTAATGAGAACTCTGAGGACACCAATATTAAACACTGGTTCTACGTATTATATACTTGATTATTATTTTAGTTTAAAAATTAATGTTGCAGCCCGATGCTGAAATTTTGGGTCTTTGTTTAAAACTATAAAGCCTACCCTACTAAAACCCATCCATACACCTTAATTAATAAACCCTAACCATAAACTTCAATCAAACTATTATATAAAGACTAGAAAATTACGGCCCAAAAAATTTTAAACATTTAATAATAAAATAGTCAAATTTTCAGCATCAGCTGCGACAATTAATATTGTATATTGAAGATTCAAAGAAGTTAGTACGGTATTCAGACAATGGTGTTCTTGCAAAAATGCACTTGCTAATGCTTTTCTACTTCTAAGAAAATTGGCACAAAAATTTAATGATATACACGATAATGTTGATACAAAGTACATCTGTTAATTCTTTTTTCTTTCAATCCAAGATTATTATCCTGAATATTTAATGATATTAATGTGGTATTTTTGAGAAGCGCCCTGGCTAATTCCTTTCCGACTGTTAATTTAAGATAGTTATGGCAAAGAAGTCAGCGTGGTGTTCTTGTAAAGAGCCTTTGCCAATGCTTTTCCGCCTTCTAATTTAAGAAAATTATAATGAAGATCCAAGAAACTTAGCGAGGTGTTCTTGCAAAGTGCATTTGCTAATGCTTTTCCTCCTTTTGGTCCAAGATTATTCTCACTAAGAATCAAAGAAGTCAACGTGGCATTCTTGCAAAGTGCATCTGCTAGTGCTTTTCCTCCTTCAGATCCAAATATATTCCCACCGAGGTTCAAAGAGGTTAGAGTGGTATTCTTGCAAAGTGCATCTGCTATCGCTTTTCCTCCTTCCAATCCAAGTTTATTCCTACCAAGATTCAAAGATGTTAGCGTAGCGTTCTTGCAAAGTGCATTCGCTAATACTTTTCCTCCTTCTGGTCCAAGATTGTTTTCATAAAGATTCAAAAAAGTCAAGGCAGTATTCTTGAAAAGTGCATCTGCAAATGCTCTTGCCCCTTCTGATCCGATACAAGTACTACTAAGATTCAAAAAAATCAATGTAGTGTTTTTGCAAAGCGCATCTGCTAGTGCTTTGCCTCCTTCTGATCCAAGTTCATTTTTGTCAAGATATAAAGAAGTTAGCGTGGTATTCTTACAAAGTGCATTTGCTAATGCTTTTCCACCTTCTAAGTTTAAATAATTACTACGAAGGTTCAAAGAAGTCAGAGTGGTATTCTTGCAAAGTGCATCTGCTAATGCATTCACTCCTTTTGATCCAAGATAATTATCACAAAGATTCAAAGAAGTCAGCGTTGTGTTCTTGCAAAGAAACTTTGCTAACATATTCACCTCTTCAATACCAAATTGAAAATGACAAATTTTATAAAAACCTAAAGAATTTAAAGCAGTATTTTTATAAAGAGCTTCTAATAGCATTTTCATTCTATCAGAACAGATAAAACTTTTAAATCTAAAATTCAAAGAAGTTAAGGTTGGAATCTTATAAAGGAGCTTTACTAATACATCTATTGTGTTAGTTTTAAGGTAGTCAGTAAATTCCATAGAAATAAGAGTAATGTTCTTATAAAGATTTTCAAATATTATTTGTTTACAAATAATTTCATTAATACTTAAACGTTTAAGATTATTACAAGTTCTTAAAAACATCAAAATTAAAGAACATTCTATTGCATTTTTAAACTCATGTCCTTTAGAATACCCTAAAATATTTATTTTAATACCATCATATAGATCATTAGTAATAGATGTGACATAACTTGTATATTCAAATAATAGCGGTAGGTTTGGTTGACTTGGAAGTGTAATTTTAAAAGGAATTAATAAAGCTTGCTCTTCAGCATTTAATGTTAAAAGGAATATTTTTATAAGTCTTCTGTCTCTAAAACGATGTGCTGGTTCGCTCCATAATATTGGTATAATAATTCTACACCATTGACGGTTTACAAGTGCACATGAAAATAAATCATTATGATTATTTCGGAGGTTATTAAACATTTTATAGTAACATTCATTCGGCAGTGCTATCATATTGAAAAAAATTACACCAATTTTAGGTATGTACGATTTTGCCTTTAATATATATAACCGAATAAATTTTGTGAAACGTTGTCAAAAATTCAAATTTGAAGGTGATTGTTATGATACGTTGTGAAACTCTAATTTACGCCCGAGAGTGCTACGTTTCGACTAGTACACATTCGATTTCTTCGGTTTCGTAAATTTCTAAATTTTATAATTTTATAAATTCAGTAAATTTCAAAAATAGCGTTGATTGACCAATTCAAATAAAAAGAAATAGTTTCAAAAGTGTATATAAGCGGTCGATATTTATTTTCAATAAAGAAGAACTCAATAGAATTCAAACATAGTGTTTCGTCTAATTCCCCTAATAGACAAATTCAGATAGATAATTAATAGTTTAACTCTATTTGACCCTAGCTATTCAGACCAAATCCCACACCTCTATAATTAGTAAATTATATTTATGACCCACATTCCAACGTATATCTTGATTTTATCGTACCAGGTACCAGTCTCGCCTTTTACAATATACGTACGTACGTTGAAAGGCAAAACTGATCGAAAAAAAGAGCACATAGCGTAATATCACTAGTCAAATGATTGAGATTCGGCCAAGTCAAATGTTACATTCAGTTTTAATTCAGCTTAAGAAATTAAAAATTGATACACAAAATTGATCTTATTCGACCTATATATAAATTTATAAGCAAAATTAAAATCAATATATTTGTAGATCGAATCTTAATTGCTTGGCTGATGTACTAAAAACTATCTAATTAATACGACTTAAACTCTAGAATTGTGAGCTTCATTCGAAGCGTAGAAGAGTATTAGGGTTTTAAGTCTTACTGTGGTAGTTATAAAATCTTGCTGATCTGGAAAATAAACATCATCTCCTAATTTATTTAACTCTTCTTTTAGTTTTTATAATATCAAGATAATTTTCTCACAAAATATTCTGAGTACGACGTATAAAAGAATATATAAGTTAGCAGTTCATAGTAATTATTTTTAATTTGGACCCTTACTTGTAAATTTTTTAAAATAAAAGCATCCACTTATTATACAGGTATGTATATAAAGGGAAAAGGGACCATTCGTTTTTTATCTGATGATCGACAACACATTGGGCTTTTACTAAGAGGTTAGTTTATCATAATTGAAAGCCCGATGTATTGTCGATTATCGAATAAAAACGAATGTTCCTTTTTCCCTTGGGGTCACTCATATTAGACTTCAGTATATAATTAATATTTTTTCAAATTATAATAAATTGTCAAAATGAAATTTGAAAAGTAATTTAAAAAGAAGCTTCAACTATATAAAAAAAAGCTACTATACTTCTGAAATACAAAGTGTGACAAGCAAATATATTAATTTCTTTTTTTATTAATAATTTGTTGCATTTTATATTTCTACTATATACTTTGATTATTTGATTTTATTTTAAAAAATAATTTTGTTAGAATGAGAATCCAAAAACCTAGCATGGTATTCTTGCAAAGTAAAAATAATTTGTTAAGGCTTTTTCATCCTTCACTTTAAAATTATTCTTTTAGATTCAAAATAGTTATTTACAAGACGCATTTGCAAATGTTTTTCTAAGAAAATTAGCACCAAGAATTAATAAAAAAAATTATAATAATCACGCAGCAAAGTACATCTGTTAATCCTT